TGGTGAAACTTTTGAGTTATTGAAAGAAAGCACCTCATTTTGTGAAATTATTGGTTCTTATTTGCCATACCAAAATGACAACAACAAAAATTTGATCCTCTGTGGCAAATTGGCTGATACTTCTAGCATATGGAAATTGGAATCCTCTAATAATTTCTTCAAAAATTCGAACTTGCTATATGAGCAAGCCATGAGACATGTTGTCACAAGTAAGTTTTTGATTGTTGTTACTGTCAATCCGGAGAGCCATTCATTGAAAGCTATGATTTCTTTTGATGGTTTAAACTTTGCAGATGCCGGCCTTCCTCCTGAGCTTAAGGTGGGGAAGTTTCCCGATGCCCTCACTGTGTTGGATTCCGAGTTGGATGCCGTATTTATTTATGTGTCATACATCGATCTTCGCACAAATCCTCTCTTGAAGTCCGGCTTAAATGGAACTAACTTCGTTACTTCGCTTGAGAATGTTGCCAATTACGGTGGCCAGGGTTTCTTCCACAGAATGGAAGGATTAGACGGTGTCATCATCTGTCAAGCGGGTGATGGGAAGACGCGTATCACTCACAACGATGGAGGCGAATGGAATTTTTTGAATCCCCCAACTGTTGACTCGNATGGTGAAAAGTATGAGTGTTCTAGCCAGGGGTTATCTAAATGCTCTTTGAACCTAGCTATTCAACTGGAACTGCGTAGCTCTGATTCGGTCTGGTCTTTGCCCGATACCTACATTAGTATGGGGACGGTTGGAGAGGATTTCCGTAGCACTCACGATACATTTATTTCTAAAGACGGCGGTTCCACTTGGGAAGAAGTGATGAAAGGTGAAGCTAAGTGGGCATACGGGGATAGTGGCACTATTATCGTGATGGCCAGTGCCCCTGGTGCCACCCATACTATAAGCTATTCTTTGGATCAAGGAAGAACTTGGAATGATTACCAGTTTTGCAATGAGAATGATCTTGAGGGTTATAGCTACGGAGTTACAGTTTGTGACTTGAAAACATGCGGCAATTCCAAAAAGTTCTTCATTCATGCGGAGATGAGGCCCTTTATGGGTCCTATAGTTACATACGTGTTCTCGATCGATTTCAGTGATATTTATAAGAGGCAATGTGAATTGGACCTTGACAATCCTGGCTCGAGTGATTTCGAATATTGGACCCCCACCAATCCTCATCTGCAAGAAAATTGCATCCTAGGACGTGAAACCAGATACTTGAGGCGTAAAAGTATCGATTGTTACATTGGAAGTGCACCATTGGCTGAATTATCCAAAGTGATCCGAAATTGTACCTGTTCAAGAAGCGATTTCGAGTGCGACTTCAATTATTTCAAAGACAATGATGGGACTTGCAAATTGGTAGAGGGACTGTCACCTATAAATCGTCTTGATGATTATTGTAATAAGAAGAATG